ATGTCTGAAATAGGTTATGAACCTTGACAGAAACTAAATATGTCAAGTTTTATTCTCTATGCCCATTTCAGTCCTTGACAACCTCTCCTGTATTGTTCCAGTGTAGTATAGCAGCCTCACTGAGTGGGGCTTACTGGGAGACACTGTCCATGATACAATCCCTGGGCTCGGGTTGCACAGGTCGGGGTTGGAGGAAATCTCAGGTGACCAACCCTGGCTATCCCTTGGCCATGCTGTCCTGGACACGGGAGTGGCCCAGATTTGTCAAGAAGGATTTTCCATTAGCCTACTGTAACAGATGCTGACAGATGCTAAGCAGCACCATGCCTTTGCAGGCTCAAGCTCAAAGTGACACAGGCACAGAAAAATATGGATCTTTCATTATGGATTTAAAACAGCATTATTACATGCATTACCCCCTTCCCCCCCCCCCCCCCCCCCCATGCCTTTGCTATAACATCGTTATTGGCAATTACTAGACAAAAGTCATGGCAGACAGTCAGATAAACCAGCACAACTCATTTAAATTCCCTATATAGAGGTATACTGTTTAGTTAGTTGCTATATTATAAATAGGATTTGAACCATCATGGTTTAGCATTCATAAATGGAACAAATGCTTTGCGTTAGTGTCCTGCGTTTGCTGAGTCAAACCTATATGAACAGCAAAACCAAAACTTCAATCTGATATGACTTGCCGGGAAAATCTTAATTTGAGTAACACAGTGAATTTGGATGATTTAATGTGCTGTCAAATATAAATGAACAATTGTGTATGCATGAATTGTGTAGGTGTCATTATTGCTGACTTCACTGCTGACAGTCAGTTCACTTATTGCATACATCCATCTATCTCTTATCTTTAACCGCTTCTTCCTTTTCTGGTCACTGGGGTCACTGGTGCCCATAACCAGCTATCACTCTGCAAGAGGCGGGTTACACCTGGACAGGTTGCAAGTCCATCACAGCCACTTTAAACAACTTAAGTGCAATTATATGCTCAAATATTTCACAAGTGCAGGGGCTTTTTTTTGTGTTTTTTTTTTTTTTTTTTTACAATGCCATTAAAATAATGTGCAGAAAATGGCTCAAAACCACTAATTGTGTGACTATTTCTCTGTTTTGTCAAATACATTAATTCTCCTTTTTGATACATACAACATTGAAACTGTTTTCTACCTGTCAAACCTAGATTGTTTTTCCAAAAAATATATACTTTGGTTAAAAGTATACACATAAATCATTCACATGGATTTGTATACATATAGTGAACAAACATGTTGTTTATTGCTCAAGCAAGTTTTTTTTTTTTTTTTTTTTTTTGCACAATAAGATCAGCTTTTGCAAATATGATGCATCAGAATACAATATTTCACAGTTCAACTAACTTATAGGTGCTTATTAAAGAGATTTCTGTAAACATTTTAAATTGTTCACTTTCTTACCCTTTTAATTTTTAGACATGAAAAATGCACAAAAATACAATGCTCAAACTCCACATAAACAAAAACAAACAACATGTAGACATACATTGGAATGCTGTATAAAAAAATATAGAATTTTATACTTAACCATCCTGCTGCCCTATAGAACCTGCTACTAGAGTCAAGTTTGGGTTCATAAGTCAATACTGATCAGTTTGTCTCAATGTGATAATAAATACTTGAGTGTTACTTCAGCTTAAAACATGAATGACAGAAATGTCACTTTGGAAATATTTTGGATTCCAATAGAAAGACGGCTCAACAGACAAATCTCATGCCGTATGCAACCGGTGCCAGTGTGAGTTAATATACTCGGGAAACAAGAAATTTGGCCGTTCACCTGAAGAAGAAAGACGGCATTGATAGCCATGGTATGTAAGCTCAATATTAGTTTTTGTTTGTGAGAAATGTGAGACTATACAGAACAGGTCATTTATTTTTTTTTATTTTTTCATTAATCAATAATGTATTTATTTATTGTAATGCCTGGTACCTGTAATAACAGAAATAAAATAGTTAAATCATATTTGATTTTTTTTTTAATATGTAAATGAGATGGGCATTTAATATCACAATATTGTGATATATATATATATATATATATATATATATATATATATATATATAGTTTAATGTGTGAGAAATTTCCCTAAGATTGGAATGACAAACACATGTAAGCACATACATGACACTATGAGAAAACCCTGGTAAGAGAATGATTCCATATATGATAAATACTTAATGCGTCTACAAGAGTTCTAGAGGTATGAGAAAGAAGCTTGACTTTCTATGAAACTATAATGTACAAATGGCAAAATAATAAAAGAGTAAAAGTGCTTTACAGCCCAAAAGTTTTAATTTTACTAAACGTGTCTTATGTCTGATAAACCATAAAACAAATGTAGCCACACCAATTAATGTTTCAGCAAAACATCCAGCTTCAAACCAGCAGCAGACAAATTAAATAAAAGCAAGTTTTGTCCGTTATTTATTTCTCCTATTGTTGTGCATTTGTTTTGTACTACGCTTGTATGTCGATCAGAAATTGAAACTATAAAACGATGAGTCCCATGTTTTTATGCACTATCTGGTTGCATGTCTCATACCACTACTCTGACTCATAGATACTATTACCATCACTTACATAAAGATCAAATAAAAATAGAAAAGTTCACTCTTATGACCTTTCACGTGTTTAAATGATTTTTTTTTTTCTTTTCCAGTCTGTGTTTGAATCTCTACAAACAGCCTTGCCATGTAGTGGTAAGGCAGCTTCCAGCCATGTGTGAATGTCATATCAGTTCATTTCCTAGAGTACGGAATAATTTTGCATTGTACACATTTTTATTTGTTTTAATTTTATGAAAATCAATATGCCTCTTCTTCTAAACTTTTGGATAAAAAAAAATAATAATAATAGTGGACTATTTAACCATTCAGGCAACTTTAACATTTTGTGTGAACGAGTCGAAGTTTAGTGACACCACGTTTTGTTGAAAATATCCTCCTCAGCACATGTAGCCACAGATGAAACTTTAACAAACAGATTTATTAGCTATAAGAAAGAATGTAAACCACGTCTGTTGGAAAGCCCGACAATGTAGGTCAAATACGACGGTAGAACGTTTAGGTGAAATTTGTTAATTTGCTTTATGAATAAAATATAATGTAACAGGTCTATTTAACACTTGTCCATATTGAGTCCAAAACCAAAACTTAAATAATCTGGCTAACTATGAGGAAAAACTTCTCATAAATGCAGGATTAAAAAGCTCCATCTGCCAACTTACTTGCCAGACTATATTAGTTTACAAATTGGAAACCAAAGTTAACTTGCTGTTATAGAAGGTGAACAGATCAAATGTTCCTTCAACTTTGAAGTTTGAAGAAATAAAGTATTATGTATCACTATAGAGCACTACCAGCATGTTTTAATTCAATATGTAACCCTTTGATTGCTTTAAGTACTTCGTCTACTCTAAATGTGCTTAAAGACCACTAAAATCATAATATTGAGTCCAAACAAAACTAGTACTTAAATAATGGCTAATGTTTACAGTTGTATTTCAGTTTGTTATACCATAATGAAAAAGCAGCACAACTTAGTGGAATAGGGATAATGGTCAGATTTAAAATAGAAAGTTTTAGACGAGCGCACGTGGCTCTGTATTATGTAGCAAGACACTGATGATCTGACATATGCGCCATATCTGACCTGAATTTTTACACAGTCCTATATACATATACATATATACAATACATACACACATACACATGCACACGTGTGTGTATATGTTTAGACATGGGACCAAAAACGAGCCAAGACGTTACATTTCCGTCACATGAGAAATTTCCAATAATCATTATTTTACTTATTCATTTATTTATTTTTCAATTCAAATTTATAATTTTAGAAGCAACCCATGGATGGACGAAGAAAGGAAGAGCCTCCATTTCTACTTCCACCAGCCCGCCTGACAAGTGTTCCTACAAACGCAAACCCCCAATGGAGACCTAAAAGTCCCCGCTGATGTCATCAGCAATATGCTAGCTGTTTTGAAATGCTCGCAACGAAGCAAAATACAAAGGGGGTGCAGGGAAGAAATTCAGAGACCTACCCAAAGGAAACCAAGAAAGGGCATGGAGGACCACAAAGCACATATCCAGTGTACGCTGCTTTCGACAGGATGTGCTAATGCATCATTTTCTCTACCTTTAGGGCTGAACAGGAAAACGGCTGCACTTTGGGGAAAATCCCTGAAAATGTTTTTCGTGTTGTGATTGCAAATATATATATATATATATATATATATATATATATATATATATTT